TGTGTGTGCATGTGGTGTATGTGTGTGCGTGCAGTACGCATGTGCCCTGGTCCTCCAATGGGGGACACAGGACAATGCCGAGGAGTCAATTCTCTCTCTCCTTCTCCCATGGGGGTCCTGGGAATTGATTCTGGTCATCAGAGGTGGCAGTAAGTGCCTTTACCCACAGACTCCTCTCACCAGCCCAGGTGTCAGCCTCTTCAGTAGCGAGACCAAGAGCTGGGACAGCGACCTCAAGGGAGAAGTGTAAGTTTCTACAAATTCTACACTGATATGGAAGCAGTTAACTTTGCCAGCAAAGGAAATCAGGTTTTTATTGTGGCCTAGATCCCTCGGCCTCCCTCCTGTCCTGGTTGAGGGATATTCATTATAGAAGACGAAGAGTATCAGGAGACCAAAATCTGTAAAATACTGGTAACAAAGTCAGCACTTACTGCTTATGCAGGGTTTTACCTTTTCAAGCTGGACGTTGTAGTGAATGTCTTCTGTCCCAGCACTTGGGAGGCAGAGGTAGCCAGATCCCTAAGCTTGAGGACAGCCTGGTCTACATGGCCAGTTCTAGGACAGCCTGGGCTACGTAGTGAGACCTCGTCCAGCCGCCCAACTTAATTATACCTATTTATCTCTCTCTCTCTCTCTCTCTCTCTCTCTCTCTCTCTCTCTCTCTCTGTGTGTGTGTGTGTGAGTACCTGTGCCATGGCCTGTGTGCAGAGGCCAGAGGACGACTTGGGCCTTGGGGGACTCAGCTCTCCTCTTTCCACCTTTCGGGTCCTGGGGACTGAACTCAGGTCATCAGGCTTGGCAGCAGGCACTTTTACAGCTGAGCCATCTCCCTCGCCTATCTCTCTTTTTAAAGACAAGGTTCCCTGGATCACAGGCTGACCCCAAACTCACTAAGTAGCTAAAGATGACCTTGAACTTTTTATCCTCCTGCATCAACCCAAGTGATGGGATTGCAGCTGGGTTTTACACAGTGCGAAGGATTGAAGCTGTGGTTATGCGCAACCTAGACAAACTCTCTACCAAGAGAGATACATAATCCGCCTGCCAAAGGTCTGTATTTATTATTATTATTATTAATCATTGGGCTCTGGTTTTGTTGCTACTGTTGTTTCTTCTTAAAGATTTATTTTATGTGCATTAGTGTTCTGCCTGCATGGATGAATGTGTATGGGTGTTGGATCCCCTGGAACTGGAGTTACAGACAGTTGTGAGCTGCCATGTGGGTGCTAGGTATTGAACCTGGGACTTCTGAAAGAGCAGCCAGTGCTCTTAACTGCTGAGCCATCTCTCCAATGCCCTGGTTTTTTGTTTGTTCGTTTTAATTTATTTATTTTTAGAATATGTGCATGAGCTGGGAGGTGGTGGCCCATGCCTTTAATCCCAGCACTCAGGAGGCAGACTGAGTTCAAGGACTGTCAAGAGTAACACAGTGAGACCCCGTCTCGAGAAAAAACAAAACCAAGAAACAAAGAATATGTATACGACTGTTTCATCTGTATGTACGTCTCTACGCATGTAAACCTAGTGCTTTGGGAGGTCAGAAGAGGATGCTGGATCCCCTGGAACTGAAGTTACAGACAGTTGTGAGCTGCTTTATGGGTGCAGGGGGCTGCCCCTGGATCTTATGAAAAACAAGTACTTTTAACTGCTGAGCCATCTCTCCAGCCCCAGCTCACCACGAGATTGTTATCTTCCGCGCCATCACCACTAACTATTAGAACTAATTGATAGTTCTCTGGCAGTTTCTTTCTAGTATCTAGCTCTGAGGAATCATTAAGGCTTCTCTTCACTTCTACTCAATGCTATAATTTGAATTTCCAGGACTGGGGGGCATGGCTCAGCCACAGAGTACTTGCCAATCGTGTATAAGGTCCTGAGTTCAGGCCCAAGTATCAGGAAAACAAAGCAGATCTCCCTTCTCAAAACGTTCCAAGATTTACGCTTTCTTTTTTACCATATGCTATAATACACTTACCCCCCCTTTGAGGGTCAGGGAGGGTATTCCGTATTCCGTATATACGCATGTTCACATGTGTGTGAGTGCCAGTGCATGCAACGGCCAGTGGTTGACACTGGGTGCCTTCCTCAGTTGCTCAATGCCTCTCCTGGACCATAAGCTCACTGATTCAGCCAGTCTTGCTAGCCGGCTTGCTCATGGACCCCTTACACCCACCTCCGAAGTGATAGGATTGCAAGCAAGCTACCACGACCTCCTGGCATTTACCTGGGTACTGTGGACCTAAACTCGGGTCCTCATGCTGGCATAGCAAGTATTTTATCCACTGAACCATCCCCTCGAACCCATGCATTTTCGTGTGTGTGTGTGTGTGTGTGGTTTAGCCAAATAGTCCTGGCTGACCTCAAATTTACCACTATCCTGCTTCAATCGCCCCAATGTTGAGATCATGGACATGGGCCACGGCGCCCAGCCACAACGCTTTTTACTTAGACCAAAATCATTTTCTTTTTTGTGGGGGCAGAGGTGAGAGGGTTTCTCTATGTAGACTCTGTTGTCCTGCAACTTGCTGTATAGACCAGGCTGACCTCGAACTCAAGAGATCCACCAGCCTCTGCCTCCTGAGGGCTGGAATTGAAGGCGTGCAACACCACTGCCCGGCCCCAATCACTTTCAGCCTCACAATGCAGAAGTGCAGCTGAGAGAGGATGGTGTGTGTGTGTGTGTGTGTGTGTGTGTGTGTGTGTGTGTGTGTAAGGGGAGGTCTCCAGCTCAGCCACATGCCCTCCTAGCATTCCTAAAGGTTTGGGCTGGACCCCAGCACCTCGCAAACCAGGTTGGTGGTGCACACCTGTGATCCCAGCACCCAGGAGGTGGACGCAAAAGGAACAGAAGTTTAAAGACATCCTTAGCTACATATTCAAGGTTAGCCCAGACTACAGGAGACTCTGCCTCAAAAAAGAAAAAAAAAGCCATAGAGATTTGAAAAAGAGGGTGACAATGGAGTAGAGACATAATTCGAAACTGTCTCCTAGGATACCTGAATCCTCACTTCTGGTCTCCCCACGATCATAACTCATACTAAATAACAAGCGCTGGAAAAAGAATCCTGCATACAGCACTGGGTAAATTACTAAACCCCTTTCTGCTTTTGATCTCCCATCTGTCACATGAGAACAATACTCCTTGTTTTTTTTTAAGCTGGTATGCATATAAGCGCAGGATAACTTTCCTTATTGAAAAAAAAAGCCAAAATAGCGGTATACTAAAATAATACTAGAAAACTGGGTAAAATAACTCCCTAAAAGCCCAAACATTGCCGGGTGGTGGCGGCGCACGCCTTTAATCCCAGCACTTGGGAGGCAGAGGCAGGTGGATCTCTGTGAGTTCGAGGCCAGCCTGGTCTACAAGAGCTAGTTCCAGGACAGGCTTCAAAGCTACAGAGAAACCCTATCTCAAAAACAAAACAAAACAAAACCCAAAGATCTGGTACCTAAAGAAGGGGAGCTTATTATATATGAAATCTGGGCAAGCACTGTTATAAGAAGTAGCAGGGAATGATAGTGTCCATACTGGATACAACCATTATTATTAATTATAAATCATTATAAATATTAAACTGTCCCCCAAGTTTACAGTTTACTAGATGAGACTTAGTGCACTTAAGAATGACTTCACACTGAGGACGGCAGTGCATGCCTGTAATCCCAGCCCCTGGAAGGTGGAGGCAGGAGGATCTGGGCTTCCACAGCTAGCCTCAGTTACACAGTGAATTAAAGGTCAGCCTGGGCTGGGCAGAGGTGGTCCACGCCTTGACTCCTACCCACTATTTGGGGGGCAGAGGCAGGAGGATCTCTGCCAGGAGTTTGAGGCCAGTCTGGCCAGGGCAGCACACAAGTGAAACTCTGTCTCAAAAGATCAAACAAACCAAAAAGGTCAGACTGGCCTGTATGAGGCTCCATCTCATTTAAAAAAAAAAAAAATAGTGAGCCGCCTCAGCAACTGTGGGAGTTTGCAGCCATGCCCGTGGACCTGAGTCCGATCCCAAGACCCACATCCTGGAAGGAAATTGTTGGTCCCTACACAAGTCATGGAAGCCCCCACAGTACAAAATAGAGAAACAAAATGGAACTTTAAAGGGGGGGGTAGGAAAAGGAAAAAATAAAAGAATATCCCACTCTGATCCTCATCGCTTCAGGAAAGTTGAGCCGTCCGCTAGGATAACCCTTTGGCTTTCTGCCCTTATTAGATTTCCTAAGTCGTCTACCCTCTAGCTAGCATTCCAGAGCTCTGAAGATTAGCATCTGCACCTGATCCCTGGCATCGCACCTGCCACTCTAGGCTGTCAACCTGGGCTAAACCGCGTCGTGTTTTCCATTCCCGGCTACATCGCATTGCTGGAGGCACACAAGTTAGAAGGAACAGGACACTTTTATCCTAAACTTGACTTCCCTACTTCTTTCCCCTTTCCCCTCATCCTCCCCCCTTTTTTTGGAGGGGAGAGGGTCCCAGGTATCACAGGTTGGCCTTGAACTGCTGATCCACCGGCCCTTCAGTGCTGGGATTACAGGCGAGTGCCACGGTACTCAGTACGATGCAGTGCTGTGTATGGAAACTCGGGACTCGGAGCATGCTAGGCAAGCTCTCTACCAACTGAGACACAATGCATCCCCAGCTAAAGTTCCCTTTAAAGGTCTATGTCAATTTCTGGCCCTTTAAATCCCTCCCCCACCCCACCCCAGTTCCTTTCAATTCTCCACACTTTCTCTCTCCCCACCTGCAATTCGCCTTCGCCTCCCTCAGGGAGTTTCTCCAATCTTCTCCTTGTGTCCTTCTACAGCCCCCCACCCTTCCCTCCGCAGCGCGACTCCAGCTTCGCCTTTCCGTGCCCCCGCGCTGTTTCCCTTTTCCCCCCACGACACATCTCTGCAGCAGGCGACCTTCCACCACCACGTCCAATGCCTGGGTTCTCCCCCTTGGCCTCCCGAGCTCCTTGCCGATTCCCTTCACCCCAAACCCACTTTTCCCGGGATCCACTTACAGGAGGCCGGAGCAGGTGGTGCAGACGAAGCTGCCCACGGTGATGTCCACATAGGTGACCCCGCGCTGGGCACACTCGAAACAGTGGCGGTTCCCGGCCTGGCTGCAGCCGCCCAGCTCCCGCACTCGGCGGCACCACACCTCCGAAGCCGCTTCAGCCTCCGCTTTGCTCCCTCCGACCCCGCCACCCGGGCCCGGGCCCTTCTTAGCCGCCATCACCATCTCTCCTCCGAGCTCCTCTGCAAGTCTGCGGTTGCTCCCCTTCAACCGCTCGCTGCCTTTCCCGCCTCCGCCGCCTTCGCACGCCCGGCAACCCTGACACCAGCTCCTGCGCCCCGACCGCGACCGCGACCAATTCCGCCGCCCCCTTCCTCGTCTCGTTCTGCACGCTGATTAGTCAGTCCCCTCCCACCTCCTCGCTCTGATTGGTGCGATTCGGGACGGCCTCGGGTTGCTGGAGCCTCCACAGCCACGCCCCACTGCCAACGGGCCTCCCGCCTTTTCCATTGGTTCACAGAGACCCCCCCACCGTGCCAGCACAGCGCGTGCCCTCCTCCTTGTCCCCGCCCCCTCTCGCCACGGGTTCCTAGGCTGACTCTTATTGGTTGTTAAGGTTGCAAAATTAGCGTGCGAGAGAAAGGAGGTGGTCCGCGCGCGCGCAGTGCTCACCCTCCGGCCTGGCACTAATTCCCGCCAAATTTCAAAGGCTTGTTCCAGGCTGAGACAAGAGACGTGCAAGGCAGAAAAGAAGTGGCCCTAGGAGGGACTGAAGGGGAAAGGGAAAGGCAGAGAAGGGGAGGATGAATGCTTTATAAAAGATGTCTTATTTGCCCATGCCATAGGTGGAGCCCCCACTTAAAAACTTGAGGTGGGGTGCCAAAGATAGCTTAAGGGACGAAGGCATTTGCCACCAACCCTTACCACCCAAGCTTGATCCCTGGAGCGCTCACTCCTGTAAGAAAACTGACCCCTGTACGCTCTCTTCTGAGCTCAAAGAGTGTACACACACACACAAATAAAAATGTATGTAAAAAATTATTCAAGAAAACATGTTGAATGAAGTGTATCACAGAACTGGTTTGGGGTTCAGTCAGAATTTGAACCTGAGTCTTTCGATTTTAAAAACTCCACTCTGGAGCCAGGGATCTATCTCGGTTGGTAGAAAGCTTGCCTAGCAAGTACTGAGCTCTGGGTTCAATCCCCAATACTACATATAACCCAGAATGGCAGCACAGGCCTGTAATTCAAGCATTTGGGAAGTGGAGGTAGGAGCTTTAGAGGTTCAGAGTCATCCTTGGTCACTGCCTGGAAAGGGAAAGGCTGGAAGTGAGGAGGTTTTGGGGTGTAAACCAACAGTTTTGTTTCAGACGTGGGCTGATGAAGGAGGTGGGTGCCAGGCCTGATTCCAGGAGAGACCAGAACCAGAGAGATAGGTTCCAGAGTCATCAGTACAGGGAGTTACGTAGGGGCATGGACGTGGTGAGGTTGCTTAGGTGTTACATACAGATGAAGACTAGAAAGTCCAGGGCTGGGAGCAGTGAAGTGCTTGCCAGGCAAGCTTGAGAACCTGAGTTCAATCCCCAGAACCCACGTGAAAGCCAGTGTCCACCTGTAATCCTAGAGCTGGGGATGCAGAGACAGGGGGATCCCTAGGACTTGACAGCCAACCAGTCTAACCAAATCAATGAGCTCCAGACCACTGGAGCTCTGGCCACTGGAGACTTCTGGCTTTCAAATACTTGTGCACATGAGCACACACACACACACACACACACACACACACACACACACTGCTGAGTCAGCAGGTGGGAACAGTATTTGATCTCCAGGAAACTATATACATAGATACACACACACACACACACACACACACACACACACACACACACAATACATATACACACATGCACACATATATGCACATATCTATAATACACATATACATACATACACACATATATATACATACACACACAATCATACACACACAGGAAGAAAGAATACAGAAGTCCAGATGTAAGAGAGAGTAGGCGGTTTACTCTACTCCACCTCTCCAACTGTCATAGTCACAAATGTGCTTCATCCCCAGAAGGAGGTTCCACCCAGTCCCATCCGGATACACAAGGGTAGCATCTTTGTCCATTTAAAACATTGCTGCATGGCATGACTGCTCATGGCTTGAATTTCAAGCAGGTAGATCTCTGTAAGCTTGAAGTCAGCCTGGTCTATGTAGTGAGTTTCAGGCCATCCAGGGCTACTTAGTGAGACCCTGTCTCAAAATAAATAAATAAAAAATAAATAAAAAAATAAGAAGAAAGAAGAAAAAAAGGCATCTGTACTCTTTTCAGAGTTTAGCGGTTCCCCTGTGCTGTCCACCACTTTTGCTTCTTCTCTTTAGCCAACAGTTATCTCTGCCTCTTGGAATGGTAAGCAAAGCAGTGCACTTGCCCACCGCCATAGCAGGTGAAGAATAAATTAGGATGACCATGGACTCTGGCAGCTTTCAGTCGGTTCCTGTGCTACAGGGTGTGGTCTGCTTCCTCCTCCTGTCTCTGCTCCACCCAGGTCATATCAGGGAGTAGCAAGCCTATGTCCCCTCATAATCAGCAAGAGCACAGGCAGCCTGGGGTCCCCTCCTCTGCTACTGCCCTGGTGGCTGGGTGGAAGCCTTGGTGATGTCCCTGGTAGGAGCCCTTTGTGCTTGGGGAGTTAAGTCGACGGAACCTGGGTCATTTGGTGGGTGGAAAGCAAGCTTTTTCAAAAAGTATCATAGCCGGGCAGTGGTGGCGCACGCCTTTAATCCCAGCACTCGGGAGGCAGAGGCAGGCGGATCTCTGTGAGTTCGAGACCAGCCTGGTCTACAGAGCTAGTTCCAGGACAGGCTCCAAAGCCACAGAGAAACCCTGTCTCGAAAAACAAAAAAACAAACAAAAAAAATCAAAAAGTATCATAGTGGGAGCTGGAGGGGTGGCTCAGCAATTAGGAACCCTTGCTGCTCTGTCACAGGATTCGAGTTCAGTTTCCGGTACCCACACTAGCTGATAGATAACCACTGTTACTACAGCTCCAAGGGATCCATCTGATGACTTCTGTCCTCAGGGACTGACCCACATGTGGGGCACGTACACACACGCACGTGCACGCACGCGCACACACACACACACACACACATAAGCACACACACATACACACATAAGCACACACACACACACACACAGCATAGTAATGGTAAGCGCTCCCCTGGCCTTTGTTACTTGATTTCTGTCTTGGCTGGGGATGAATTGACACTTCCTGTCAGTCACTGGATCACATATCCCCATCAGCAGGAGAAAAAGTCCAGCCTCGCAGGTGTGGTCTCCCAGATACCACTAGATCAGTTTTCAGGGATCATTTTATTGTCATTATTTGTCCAGCTGCTTCTGGTGCTTAGGAAATATGATAAGGGCCTTGCCTGGCCAACGGCCTTTTTTTCTGCTGTGCTTGTGTGTGTGTGTGTGTGTGTGTGTGTGTGTGTCTGTGTATTCATACCAGAGGTCACCCTCGGGTGTTGTCCCCCAGGTCCCATGCGCCTTGTTTTTGAGATAGTCTTTCACTGACCTGGAGATTACTACTTATGCTAGGCTGACAGTTAGCCCCAAGAATCCCCATCTCTGTGACCCAGGGCTGGAACTACAAACTTCTGTTACTATACCTGACTAGGGGGATGGAAATTAGGTTCCCATGTTTGTACAAGTGCCTTGCCGACGGAGCTGTCTCTCCTGTCCTTGACTCCTTTCCGTTAGGAGCAAGGTTTGTGGTTGGAGACACAGACCTGTCTGGATCCCCGCCTGCGGGTCCAGCCATGAACATAACAGCCACTGCTGTCTCCATCAGAGCTACCTGCATGAGACCCCCAACAACGTCAGGAGTAGGTAGAGAGAGGAAATCATTCCTCATCTGAGATTCCAGCTACTTTTGTGACCACTCCCTGCCCCAAACTATATGTAATCCTCCTGACCCAGCTCTGTGTTGTCTTGGAAGGGGTTGGAGAGTAGAAGATTCACAGAAGACACGGGTCTCCATCTAGACAGCTATGGGAAGTGGAGAGAGCCCTGTGGAAGAGAAGTCCTAGGTGAAGGTTGCTGTTGACAGGGCACAGCCACGTCAAGGACTCATAGCCCCAGGCTCAGAGAGATGTCAGATTCTTCCTCTGGTCCAAGTGTGAACACTGACAGTGTGTGCAGAAAATGTCCATCATCTCTTTCTTTCCCTGTGTGTCTACAGCCGGAAGACTCCTCCCCAGTAGAGACTGCTCCTACCAAGGTGAGCTAATCCTGTCTCCTTGATCCAGCTGTGTACGGTAAACCCTACTCCTTGTCTAGCTAAACGCACTGACTCCGCCTCTCCGCTCAACTCTGTCATGAACACACTGATCTTCTAGGGTGCTACTGTGTCTCCAGCAGAGACCCCAGACCATCCAGGGTGCTACGGTGTCCCCAGCAGAGACCCCAGACCATCCAGGGTGCTACGGTGTCCCCAGCAGAGACCCCAGACCATCCAGGGTGCTACAGTGTCCCCAGCAGAGACCCCAGACCATCCAGGGTGCTACGGTGTCTCCAGCAGAGACCCCAGACCATCCAGGGTGCCACAGTGTCCCCAGCAGAGACCCCAGACCATCCAGGGTGCTACGGTGTCCCCAGCAGAGACCCCAGACCATTTGGTCCCAGCTCTCGGTCTGCGCCTGCCTTGTACTCCATCACTGCCCTAGTAAGGTCCATGCACTTGAACCAGGCTGGACGCGGATTCACTTCCCCAGTTATTTAATTAAATTATTTTAACTTATTAATTTTTATACTTATTTATTTATTTTGAGATAAAGTTTCTCTGTGTAATACCCTTGGCTGTCCCAGAACTCACTCTGTAGACCAGGCTGGCCTAGAGCTCACAGAGATCTGCCTGCCTCTGTTTCCCGAGTGTTGGAATTAAAGGTGTGCATCACTACCCCTAGCCCTTATTGGTTTATTTTTTGAGACAAAGTATTTTGCTATGCCACAGGCTGGCCTGAAACTTACTATATAGGCTTAGCTGGCCTTGAACTCAGGCTTGTCGTGACTCAGCTTCCTGGATCTTCAACCACAGGCCTGAGCCACCACACACAACTAGAAACCATGCTTTTAAAGAAAGGGTTGACAAATGAGGCCAGCTCTAACAATGCGGTAATTTACTGCCTGTAGGCTGTTTCCAGTCTGTTCTACGGACAGAGAAACTCAGAAGCTGTATGGGCCCCACCAGAGTCTTGGAAGCTGAGACAGTTCAAGTTTACAGAGCAAGGTAAGAAAAGAAGAGGAGAAAGGGGAATGGGGAAACGTGAGGAGGAA